CTTTTGCATTGGGGGGAATAAGCCTCTGTGACGTAAATAGACGGCTGGACGCATATTTCAAGTTGACCAAGCTAGGGCAGTAGTAAGTTACGGTTATCCTGTTACGAACTCATGGTCGTTTTCCATTTTTTCCCCCTCCCTCAAATTAAGAACACTGGCTTTGTTTGCTAAGTTTGGTCCAAGCATACAAACATTGGAGCTTTTGTAATGCAATAATAGATGAATCCTGAATGCCCGGTTCCTTTTCTGGAAAACATGAAAAAAAACTCTCTCTTTTTTGGGTAGTTGCAAATACTTAGCAGGTCCTTGCAGAATATCAGTAGCTGACACACACACAGCCCTGATGGATCTGCCTAATCCACATAGCTTATTTCTACAGTAATAGGAAGAAAATAACACCCCCCTCCAAAAAAAAAGCTATTTTTCTCAATACTGCAAAGTTAGGCATCCTTTCCATCAGATATAATTGTGCTTGGTGCACAATCCAAGTTTGTACTGGACTGTTTTGCAGTGTATAAAATTATAAGGTGTTTTGCAGATCTCCCTTATGGGGAATTGGGTAGGTTAGATTGGAAGGAAGCCTAACTTGTGTATCTTCGTTTAGGAGGAGTGAATAATTTTAATTCCATACCAGTTAACGGCATCGGGAGCCCACGTGTGTCTTACAAGCCCAAAGTCTTTACAGTAGTGGCCAAAATTGTGGAAACCTTTTGGGAAAAGTGTATTTTTGAGGTTTGATGGCTAATAACACCACTTTTTTGGGGAGTAGTACCATAAAATTATATATCAATGGAAAGATCATTTAATCAAGAATGTAATGCAACCAAGTTTGTTCAGTTATCTGTACTGTATTCTATGAAAAGATATAGCCAAATAAACAGAAAAAGGAAGCACCACTTGCTCAAGTTGATATCAAGTAGCTTTCCTTCACCTGATTGTAGCCAATGAGCACGAGTGTTTAGAGAGCCAATCGGGTGTCATCTTGTTTTGGCCATGAGCCAATCAGATCACAGTAGGATCCAGTTATTGATGTCCTGTATTGAAGCTGAGAGGAGGACATTTGTCAGTGTGTTATGTGATGGCCATCAAGTGGGTTGGGTTTTTTTTGTGTGTTCTTTCACTTAGTGAGCTTGTAAAACGTAATAAAATTAAAGTCATGGTGCAAAGAGTTGACCGATCGTCCAGGAAGCGATGTAAAATAGTATTTATTAAGTGAACGAGGCTACAATTATAAAGAAATTAGAAGAAAAATGGGTGGAAACTTAACCAAAGGGGGCATTTCTACGGTGCACTTTTCCCAAAAGGTTTCCACAATTTTGGCCACTATTGTACATTGTCAGGCCGTAAAGTTGGGAAGCAAGTTAACAGAGAAGATGATTTTTCCCATCAGCCACACCTGACCTGCAATTTTTCACAGTTGTTTCTTGAAATGCAGGTCTCCTGGGACAAGCCCTAAAAATACTTCTAACTAGATAGATAGAATTTGTAATCAGAATATCGTATCTGGGCATGAAAAGCGAAATAAGAATATGCTAAGAACTTGGACTAAGGGAAGCTTTGGGTTCCCCAAACATAACTTGTTCTGAAATTATAAATGATTGGGATATTTTGAACGCGGATGGGGAATTAAAATGAAAAAAAAAGAAGCAAAAATAGGATATGGACTAAGTAAATGGAAACTGAGTGCCAATGCAACTAAGATATGTTTTGGTTAGAAAAGATATTCTAAACTGATATTATTGACACTATGAGAAAAATGTAACAAATGTTGATACGCAGTTGTATATTTACTAACAACAGTTAAGAATTGTATTTGCTTAGTGGGGGAAAATGGTTATTGCCAGAAGAAAAGTGGATGTACTGGAGGGTGTGACATCGGACTTAGTCTGAAGAAGCTCACGTGCGGCACGGAATCACTAATGGACTCCGTCATCACGTGGTCTGATGGGCCCTTGATTGTGAAAATAGAAGATTAATAAAACATTTATTTTTGAAAAAAAATACTTCTAAGGTGCAACTGGCCTGGAATGGGATTGTTTGACCTAAGTGACAGTCCTGCATTTCACAGAGTCCTGAGTTTTAAGTAGAAATGTGAAGTATTTTGAAAGGGGCACGATGGTGGTACGATCAGCGTAGGAGCACCCAGCCAATACGAGACAACTGCGCGTTGCAAGTTTTCCCCTTTAATCTGCTCTTCGGTTACTCCACCGTTTTTCTGCCTGGTCTGACGGACCCCCCCTCTGCCTGGAAGTTGCACCTGGCTTCCATAAGCCATTTTTTATGTGCCCCCAACATTTAATGTTTCTGTGCAACACGGGCAGCAGAAAACCCTCGTGTCTTTTTTCGACAGGTGGTCGTATCAACTAATATTGCTGAGACATCATTGACAATAGACGGTGTTGTTTTCGTCATTGATCCTGGCTTTGCGAAACAAAAGGTAAATAAAGTTCTTATATATATATATATATATATATATATATATATATATATATATATATATATATATATATATATATATATATATATATATATATAAACAAACACACACACTCACTCACTCACACACAAACACACATACACACATACATATATATATTTATACATATATACACACACATATACACACATACACAGGGCTTTTTTTCAGCCGGAACGCGGCGGAACCGCGTTCCGGCACCTTTTTCCGGGCCGGCCGCACCGGAAATAGCCCCTCCCACACCGGAAATAGCCCCTCCCAAATTTTACTTGCATTCCTGTTCTCTAAAGGGGCGGTCCTAGGGTTTGATGAGGGCGTGGCCAGGTTTGAGTTCCGCCACCTTTTC